AAAAGAATAGTATTATCTAACATCAATGATGCTAGAACAACAGTTTAGGTGATCACACTTGATAGATTCAATCAAATGAATCTTGTGACATTACATTTATGTGAATCTATCTTTTAATGTCATGCGTTTGCCACCTAGACTGATTTTTAACACTAGTGATACTAGATAACGTTACGCGTATCAAAATAGTCTTCACTTCAACCTTCAATTCAAGGATCACTAAGGGTGCGTTCGATTGCAAGGGTGGAAAATGGGTGGAAAGAAAATGTTTTACAGGGAATTGATTTTCTTAGAAAATGTTTTATTGAGAATTGTAATTAATTGTGTTTGATTGGTATAATTTTCCATGAAAAATGTTGAAAGTTTGGTGATTTTTTTTACTTGTTTTGATAATCTCATCAAATTAGCCACACCATTGTTTTGAATTCAAGAAATAAAAAGGATGCCTCTAGTAGAAAACTCAAAGACAAAATTCTTAACATTATCTCTCCCACAAACTCCACATCCTCTGAGAATCGGACATTTCCGTTTCAAAAATTGACCTGTCAGTGAGATTATAAAATGTGTAACCCCTTGACATCTCCATTATTTCTCTCTAGATAGATTCTGGTAAGGTGGAATGACTAATGATACTCTTTATCATGTCTTTAAGTGTTTTGTTTCGTCTCTTAGTTGCATTATTAATGTTAGAAGATCCTGACATGGTATATCGTGGAACGATTTTGCACTCCACTAGGTATTTAGTAAAAGGTCATGGACGTTGTTCTTCTGATCCGTCGTATCTGTCGTAGTATTCATCACCATGGGTAGACCGACTTGTTTTATTCTTTTGCTGAATTAATTTTCAGTCTCACATTTGTAAGGCTTGAACATGTCTAGTATGACAGTTGACCATTCCAAAAAATCGAAGTGAATGACCCACAGATATCTATATATATTAGTTCTAAGACGTCCAAAATCCTACTGGCATCTAATCTCCTTATATTATCTCTTTCCCCATATTGCAATTAACATAAACACTTTAGCCTAAAAATTGAGAGGATCAAGAATTCCTCATGACACAAGCTTTTCGATTCTCTTTTGAGAGATGTAACATAATCGCTTGTGTCATAACGAAACAAAATTATCATTGATTAATTACATTTAATACTACGTGAATTCACATGCAAGGTTTCATTATACAAGGCAAGCGAATTAAGCAAGTATAGATTATCATACACAGATAAATAACTAGTACTCAATAACATATGGGTCAAGAAAAAGACTAAACTAATTATTTTCAAACGAAAAAGAATAATTGACTTTGTCTAGCACAAAAATAGAAATCAAATTTAGTCTAAAAGACAGTACTACAAATGTCTCTTTCAATTTCAAATAAAAATCAGTCTTTAATAATAATCTAAAAATTCATATAGCCTCAACTTTACCTAATTTTTCGTCGCTCACATAGATGAATCTTTTAGCATCATTTAACTTTCGACTGTTCGAGCAACCTTGCATAGATACATTTATATGAGTTGTGGCACCAAAATCAATCCACCAGTATGTCTAGCCATTGAAACTAAATTAACCTCAAAACAAACTAAAGTGAGAGACATACATTTCTTTATACACCAATCGAGGTATTTGGTACAATCACTTTTAAAGAGTCCCGAGATTTTACAAAAGTAATAGTTAGATGATTCATCATTTTCAAGATTTTGCTATTCCATTTGAGCTGGAGCAAGTGCATCTTTTTTTATTTTTTCTTTTCTTAAACTTANTTTCTTTTCTTGAACTTGTCCTTAGATGTACTTGCCAAGTGAGTACTTTCAGTTATCTCTTACTTTAGCATTTCTCCTTCTTTCACACAATAAGAGATAAGCTTATTAAGAGTCCACTTCTCATCGTTGTAACTAACAATAAATTGGTTGAACTGTGTTGGAAAAATCAAATGTACGAACAAATCATCAAACATCTCCAGTTGTAGTGCCTTCAGTTTTGAAGAAAGATAAGACGTCTCCATGATGTACTCCCCTATGTTTTCTTTATCATTATACTTTAGTAAAACTAAGTTCGTCAAAAGCGTACTACTTTCGACCTTATCGTGTTTCAAAGGCATTTCAATTTTTTCAAAAAATTCCTCGACGGTTGTTACCTTATCGGACACATCGCTTCTAAATCTTTCTGAAATTCCGTGCTTCATGGTCAAAAGACTCATGTAATTTGAGCGATCACACTTATCAAAATCCACTTTTTATCAATGAAACTTTTATTCATAAGTGTAACATGTTGTTCAGTCCTTAAGCAAGGTCTAGATCCATACAACTAAGAACAATGTATACATTATCTTTCCAATCCTTAAAGTTGGTACTATTAAGCACATGAATAAAGTTGATGTTGACGGATATTGTAGAATCAGATAAATTAACTGAATAGAAAATAAAAAATATATGTTTACGGGAGAATTCATATTAAACAATCAATATATTTAAATAATGGTATGCTACATCATAAGAGATCACACACAACATTGTCATTTAGTTTTTGAAAAGAAATAACAACTTGTACATGGTACTCTTGATGTAGTAATCACGTACTGACAATAAAAAACGTCAAACATTAAGTCTATCTTTGGACCCATTCAATATTCACATAAATTTTTTTATAATGTCACATATTTATCACGACATGTATACATATAATTTGGCTAAATATTGATTTTCCTTGAGCCGGTCAATACTCGCATGAATTACGTAAAAACAATCATCTTAATATCCAAATAAATCAATTAAAAAGAGAGGATACTTTGATAACATTCTGCTTCAACTAATCTATTTTAGAATATTAGACTTCTGAAATTAATTATACAAAATTTGAAATTGATTGTTACTTTAAAAAATTTTCAGAATCTATCTAGATGAATACGCAGATCGAGTACCAGTCGAACGACATATACGCCGCTCAAGCTCTAGCTTGGCGGTTGGCGCCTAACGAACGGCCAAAAACCTGGAGTACTAGCCTAGCGGCTAGAAAGCGTTGAGCACCATCGTTCGAGCTACGACTAAGCAGTTAGTGAGTGCTAACTCACTATTTTCAGTGCTCAAGGGAGAGGTTGGTGGGCAGTGAGCACCATTCGCGCCGCCGCAGTTCTAAAATCTTCAAAAAAAATCCTAAAAAATTTAAAATTCAAATTTAGAGATAAAATTCGCATCTCAAAATTAAAAAATCAAAAGCACAAATTTCATGCCAAAAATTATTTCTTGATTCTCAATGATTTAGCATGGACTGGCTCTGATACCACTTATTAGATTTAAAACTTTATAAATCTTGATCCATTAAAAACTTTTTCTTTATTGTCAAGATATTCCATATCAAATTACAAAGAGAATTAAAAGTGCGGCACATACTTTGATCCATTGGGAATGAAGAACAGAGATTGATTGCAAGTTGTTAATTGCGGTTTCTTAATTTTGATTACAAGTTCTTGATTATGGGGTTTTGATCTTCTTCTTCAATATGTTTTTTCTTTTATTTTTGTATTAGTAGGATGACACATAGAATGAGAATATTACGTTTGAATTGGGGGCTACAACCCTATAAGATGTTTTGATATGCATTTTGGTCCATCGTCCAATACAACTCAAAAGAATCTGATCTCTACACATATTTAAGTTCAAACCATATTAGATGTTCAAAATCTAATAATTTTAGTTTTTTATTAGATCACTTTAAACGAGTTTAACTTTAAGATAGCCTTTAATATACCATTCATTCTTTATCCAAGACCGGGGAAGGTCGACTCCTATTGTTTGGACTTAATTCATACTTAAAAACTATAGTTTAGAGAATTTTATTATATCACGTATTAATCAAAATAAGTCAACAAGTCGGACTTTATAGCAAAAATTCGAATTTTACCAAAAATGAAAAATTTTCAAAAATCACACCAAACAAAAATATGGAATAAAATAAGTAGTTTGCAAAAAATCTAGCCCAAATC